GTTGTATTAGGACTCCATCTCCCCTAACTTCATTTTAGAGATCTTAGCTTGCATCTATTCAGTTGTTTTCCTTAAAAAAAATTGAACAAATATAATAAAATTTATTATTTCAAATTTAAAATTTAATATCATAAGAAGCTTTCAATAAAAAAAATTAAAAATTAATTTAATGCATTAATAATAATAAAACATTTAAAATAAGACCAAATGTGCAATACTTGATAGAATATATTTGAATAGGAATTACATTAAGTAGAAGTATATGTTATGAGGGACGAAAACTTTACCCGACAATACTATAATACTTTGATGCTTATATTCTAGTAGAAAATTTAATATAATAAATATATGTGAAAGTCGCACTTTTGATTTGATTTGACTTTGGAAAGTGAAATGAAGTTTGATTAGGCAGCATAAATCTGGGAAAAAATTTAATGGCGGCAAGTTGAGGGAGGACAGATCGAATCCCATAAAGTGTTAAGATTCAATACTAGGCTTGCTAGCTAGAATTAAGGACCACGACGTTGTACACAATGGTACCACATCGAATGCGAATGCCTATTATTGTCAAATCATTTGTAATTATTTAATTTTGGTTTTATTCGTTAATTAAGTCGCCACTGGGCGGACCAAATTTTTACTTTTTGTTCCCACTCGTACCCCCCAAAAGTCTATTCTCATGGCCCGCATAAACCCCCCAAATCCAACCCGGCCCGGGCAACACCTCTTCTTATTGCGTATTTATGGCGTTGGGCACACCCTCGAACACGACGTTTATATCATTTACGCATATTCACCCGCCGTCCAAAACATATTTTGACGGCTCAAGCATGTAAATAAGCAATAGTTATATCATGGACTCGGGTCTACTTAAATTTAAAATACACAATTTATATATTGAATGTTCGTAATTTCTTATTTAATGTTCACAATTTACCTTTTACAAAATTGTAAACATTCAACACGTAAATTGTGAATATTCAATATGTAAATTGTGTATGTTGGACATTGATCTATTTGTAAGGTGAACCCGAGTACACAGAATAATTTGCCATAAATAAGTATCTTTGTGGGATACGGCTGAAATTTGAATTTAAAATTTTTGTCTACTTTATTGTTTTGGTCGAATTGAAGACGATAACTTCTTAATTTAAACTTAAGGCGGCAAATTTCATTTGGAGACAACCTCACTTAAAGTGGTTAAATTGTTAACTTAGTGATTACAATATTATAAATTCGACTCCCAAGCGAGAATATCTGTTTTGAGCTAGTCATCTATAAGTAACTTAGGATGGTTTACTCATATTCTTGTGGTCATTTACCGACTAATAAGGTGCTTTGTTTGTATGTTTAAGGTGCGTAATTTGTGTACTTAAAGTGTGCCATTTTAATGTTTAAAATGTGTCAACCGCACGGGAAGTTATACCCACATCCAAACCCTTCCCTATATATATGTGTATATTTTGAAATATGTGTGTGTATATATTAATGTATTTTTAATATTGAAAAGGAATCTAAGTAGCAAGATGGTGGGCAGGTGGTGTAGGTGTGTTACAATGACCACACAACCAGAAAAAAACCGGCAGCAAGTGGATAAGTGTACAATAGCAACAGAGTTAGGTTTCCTAGGTTATGCCAAACTAATTCTAAGTCTCAAAACTCTTATTTAAAGATTTTAGAGGAGATAAATCTAAATTCGTCTGATTTGTTAATACCGAGGTTTAATTTTCATCTCATACTTACACTTTATGTATAAAGGGTTTACATTACCTCTAATTGATCAACATCTCCCAATAATGACTTTGCATGTTGCTGATGAGATTCGAACTCCACCCTACCACTAGAGGAAAACTTTAAGAAGATTTATCGAACTAAGCTACAGACCCTGTCAGGGCTAGCCACCGGATTTGAATTAAGAAGCGAATTGAAGCTAGTTGTTTCAGCATCTATATATATATATATATATATATATATATATATATATATATATATATATATATGCATGCAGGCTGCACATGCATGCAAGCATACTACAGGGTTTTGAAAAGGTTTCTGCGCACTTACGATGCATGAAGCAATATGTATGGTCCAAAGTTCAGGTGAGCAGACTACCTTTGGAGCCTTATTTAATTTATAGGCCAATAAACATCCAAAACACCAATTCCAACAACCATCTCAAACCCTACTCCATGCATATATCATATCAATTTGCTCTCATCTCTATCAATATATACATACAAACATATATGTCAGGTTACTACTTCAATACAAATAACAAAATAACAAATCAGAGTCAGGAAGCTACAAATACTGTTAACTGGCCTGGGGCATTGTGAATGAATATTTTGTCCATAAACCATGCATTGCTAATTCACAATCCATATAACAAAAATTAGTAGGAATTCCCCACATTTTTCATTATATCGAAACAGCGGAAACAGAATTCATACACTTAATTATAGTATTAATTTTCATAATCGTGCACTAATAGTGAGAATGTCACCTAACTCGATCATAGAACAAAAAGTGACCATCACTACCCTTCTAACAAATTAATACTCCTATTTGATGTTATTTACTTATTTTATCATTTCTTTTAGTTTTTTTAAAAATATATAATTTGATCCCTACTGTATAACTTTAGAAATTTTCATCAATATGTGCTGTCATCTTTGCTGCCTTTTGTCTGGCATATGTAAATTAAAAGAAAAATAGATTACATATGACGATTGAAGCAAGCATATATGCCCCTCCAAGGATGACAGAATAAAATATATGATGCATATATGCATTCTGTTTATGGGGCACTAAAACGAATCAAGATTAAGGTTATAAATGTCACCATATACTAAACAAATCAAATTATTGGGAATTAAAATAAAATACACCACTATTGTTTTACTTTGACTATTTTTTTTCTTTTTCCAACAACTAGGTTTCAAGCTTCAACAAACTATATCATAAATTCCATAAATTTGCTTCAATATCATGAAGAGGTAAATCGAGTCAATCTAGTTTTAAAACTTAACACCAAATTAAACTGTACACTCGTGCACACAACAAATCCAATCAAACCTCAAACTCTAAATGTTTGTGGTAAGAATCAAACCTCATCCCGTGGATGATTGACTATTATTTTATATATACAATATTATTTGTACTTTTAAACCTTAATTGTAAGTTGTTTCCATCATTTTACTATATTATATTAGGGCTCTGTTTGACCGAGCTTATTTAGAAGCTTATAGTTTATTTTAAATTACTAATAAGTTGTAATTTCTGTTTGGTTTTCAAAAAAAAAAAAAAAAAAAATAGTAGCTTAAAATAATAGTTTATGTTAAATGCTATTCTACGTAACATTTTAAAATAAGCTATGAGCTTCTAAACTATATGACATCATTACTCCTCACAGTGAGAATTTCCGGGAGAATCTCCGTCGTATCGAGTCCGGTGACGTCCCTCTCCTAGCCTACAAGACAACTGATGATGAGCAATAGTATACCCCACACACGGTGCCCATGTACACTACTTAATTACATGTAGATATATTAGAATTTCTAAGCAGCTTATTGCTCTTTTTGATATTTTCTCTTCTCCTATTTTTTTTATTCATTCTTGTTCCGCTACTCTTTCACCGCCAAGCATTATCCTTTGTCTTCATTCGAGCAACTGGGACCACTTGGATTGTTACCAAATGAGCCCCATTAGGTTATTTATATTTATTCCACCTCCTCAATGGACGGTGAAGATATACTAGATCGTATGATTATGATTATATCTCTAAAATCCTACCTAAAATTCTATACAATCATATGAGTTCTATAATGTTTTATAAGATTTTAAAAATCTCTACACTACTAATATATATATATATATATATATATATATATATATATATATATATATATATATATATATATATAGTTTAATCGTGCACATTCATCTCTTCCAAATTGTATTGAGAGGTCGTTTGGAGTATTGAAGAAGAGATGAAAGATACTCGTTAAAATGCCGTAGTTTAGTGTGGACACCCAAATTGATGTTATTATGGCCACATTTGCACTAGATAATAATATTCGGAAGAGCTCGCAAGATTACATGATGTTTAATGTGATTGTGCAACATCCAAATTACATACCGCCCAATGAACTTCAAGATTCAAGTAATAATATCTCCATCAATGAAAATTTAAGTGAGACCTATATTGAGATGAAGACATTTGCAACAATATTGCTACTTCATTATGAGATGCTAAATCATGATTATGCTAATACTTTCATTTTAAAATGTTAAATTTTAATATGTAAACAAACCTATTTAAATTTAAAAATATTTAAATTTTATGAAGATGCTATTTTTAGTCCTTTTACATTTATCAGCATATCAAAAAACTAATTTTGTCAAACACTTCATAATTAGCTAGCTTAACATCTCTTCTGTTTTCAACTTCTAACTTCGAACTTTTCAACTTTCAAGCTACTTTCAACTAATTTTTCAGTTTAGTTTACCAAACATACCTAGATACCAATTGTGTAAAAAATTTAATATGAGTAATATGGGTTGGGGTACTAACCCCACGTGCATATATGTGTATGTGTGAACGTTCTAGACAACATATGTGACAAACAAATTTACTAGAAAACAAAACAAATGAAATACCCAGTAAAAAACAACTTTGTTATCCCATTTTTAGTATAAACATTTTTGTACGTATTTTTCCAAATATATAAATTTTATATACAACTATCAAATTAAATATATTACAAAAAAGTTAAAGTCTCATTTAAGTCTACACACCCGTTTACTGAATCAAACACATAAAATAAGACGGAGCGAGTATATAGATAGATAAATATATTGTGCCCGTCAGCAAGCTTGTGGCTGTGAAGGAGACGAGTCACGCACACCTTTGCCTCTTAGCCAACTGGATTCCGATCCTCCACTCTCTTTATAAGCGCCCCAAGCATGGCTAACCTCCTCAACCCCATCATCTTCTCAATCTCTCTTTCCTTATCTGCTCCACTCTTTTCAATTCTCTTCTTTCTTTTTTGGTTTTTTTTTTTTCCCTTTTAAAATAAATAATAAGAAGTTGCAATGGCATCAAGTTCCTTTCGTTCTTCATGGACTCCCCGCCAAAACAAGTTGTTTGAGAAGGCTTTGGCGACGTTTGACAAGGACACGCCGGACCGGTGGCAGAATGTCGCCAGAGCTGTGGGTGGCGGCAAGTCCGCCGACGACGTCAAGCGCCACTATGAGATCCTTCTGGAGGATCTGCGCCGTATAGAGTGCGGCGACGTTCCTCTCCCGGCCTACAAGACCACCGCCGTTGATGAGCAAAGGTGTGCCCACCTAAGCTACTTAAATTAATTGCATGTAGATATACTAGAATTTCTAAGCAGCTTATTGTCACCCCAGTATTTTTTTTGAGTGACAAAGAAAATCTGTTGTCACTATTTGAAATGTTTACTCAAGTATGCACCCAGTAAACTCTGATTTGAGTCAGGGCACAAGAAGATAAATCAAGCTAGATTACGTGGTTCATAATCTCTTTTTACTAAGAGTTAAACTTAAAATTTTGTTGTTACTAAACCAACAGTCTCATCAACTTGACTAGATTCTCCCCTTCTGGGTATCTTTCCAAAGTAGTACAATCAAGCATAATATGCATGAGTGTTTCATATATCACTAGAATAAATATAACTTTATAGTTATCAAACTAACAGTCTAACCAACTTTGACTAGATTTTCCCCCTCTGAGTATCTTTCCTATCTAGTACAATCAAGCATAATAAGCATGAGTGTCGTTTCACGTATCACTAGACAAATATAACTTTGTGGTTACGTATCTGACCAACTTGACTAGATTTTTCCCTCTCTTGTACAATATCAAGCATAATATGCATGAGTGTTTCATGTATTACTAGAACAGATGTTGAAAGTAATTGATATAATTAACACAAATAACGTAAGAAATTAAACCTTATTATTTGCTAAGTACGTTTGCATATAGTGCATGCATAACATTTCAAGTGTTTGTTTTGCGGCAGGCTTCTGAGGTTTCTTAAGCTGCAATAAGAAGAGGTCTGATTAGAAGATTAATAAGATGACGATGGGGTTCGATATGGATCTGTCATCACCGTAGATTTCATCCGATCTCAAAATAATCTAATCTGCTGTCATGTCTTCTGCGGTAGTCCGATCCTTTAATTTTCAGTACTAATTATTCACCACTTTATGTTGTAATATAATATATATGTTTCTTCCATATCTATATATGTATATCGTCGTTTATGGCAATGTATGTACGTATATAATCCTTAATCTATTGTCGTTGTCCATCTGTCGTTCCACCTGTATAAACTCTGCTTGTCTCTTATCCACTAGAATTCATAGATGTTGCACCATCACCAACTATACCAATCTACTTTATTTTCCAATATATGCAAAATTAATTAAGCATTTTCGCAAATTTCTCTTGTACCCAGTATCATTCAAAAGTGAAAGATAAAAATTTTAAATTTATACTGGGGACAAATGTTATAACAGTATTATTACAAAAGTCTTTTTTAAAAGACTTAATGACACAATCAGTATCTTACTAATTGGCACTATAAACTTTTACCCTTTAGGTCGATATTATAAACTTTTGGTGTAATGACGGAGAATAATTAATATAGGTTAAAGTGATTGAGGCCTATGTGATCGACCCAAAAAATGAGAAATGCCAAAGTAAATGTGGGAAAAAGGAGTCGGGCAAATCGAAGCACAAAAGATATGCAGATTGAGGAGCATATAATAATGTTAACACGAAAACTGGAAGACGACAACGTAGTACTACTAACATTTCATTTTCAACGCTGTCCTTGACAACTTGCATGCTCTATCTATAGGTGAGAATCTTCATCATTTCTCTCTGATATGATGACCACGAAACATACATACATATATCACAATCCCAAAACACTAAACACCACATTTGATTAGTATTATATCGCAATAACCCTTAGCTTTATTATTTGGTTAGTTGGAGACTTCTTTAGATAAGACTCCCTCTGTCCCATTTTGTATGTCTTACTTTCCTTCTTTATTATTTGGTTAATTGGAGACTTCTTTAGATAATACTCCCTCTGTCCCATTTTGCATGTCTTACTTTCCTTTTTAGTTTGTCCCAAAATGTTGTCCTCTTTCTAAAATTGAGCTTTTTTCCCAAATTACCCTTATGACTTTAATTTCTCACACCTCCACTAAGGCTTGAACTCACAACTTTCCAAATGAAAGTCCAACTCGGGTACCATTAGACCACATAGTTTTAGTCTTTAGATAATAATATATGTCATAATATTCTTGAAATTAATTTTTACTTATTATTTTTGTCACTGATTATTTTTTTCAACTTTTGAAAATGACAAACAAAATGCATTAACCGGAAATATATCCAATTAACAATAAAGTTTAATTTCAACAATATAACCAATAGAAGTGACATGCCACTTGTTGGTTTTATAACTTTTGAACAGTTAACGGCTGACACCTTTAAATAATGAATATATATAGGGAGAATATATGTAATTTGTATTGATGAATATTGCTTGTACGTGAATAGTGGAAAATCTTTCTCCCACCCCATGTATGAGGGGTCTATTTAAGCATATTTTGGGCTTAGAGCCCAATTAGGAATAAGAATCCTAGACTGCCTCGGCAAATTATTATGTGGACCATAGCAAAAAGTACATTTTTCATATACTAAAAGTACATTATTCGTTTACTGAATATACATTATACAAAATAATATACTTTCAGTATTCAAATAATATATTTTCACTGAATATAATGTACGTTTTTAATATACTAAAGTACATTATTTGATACTATTGTCCACACAATAATGATTGGACTGCCTTGGGAGTCCTTGTTACATTAGGAATAATAAGCCCTCATCCTTATTACATTATAAATACTAAGTTCAACCCTTATTAAATTCTTAGGGGGCGTTTGGTTCATGTTATATAAGATAACCAAGGTTATATTTGCTTGGTAATATAAGATTCTCATGTTTGGTTCAGGTTATATAACTTTCCCAGGGAATGTCAGATAACCTCCTCATTAGGTTGTTAGCTATTGGAAGGGAATATGAAATACCCTCCAATTTCTTAGGTAATCTCACATTCCCTTGTCTTATTAGTTATTACTAATGTTGGGCTTTGGACGTTTTAATTAATTTGTCTTATTATCGTTGTCTTATTTGCATATCTTAGTTTTAAACCAAACACAAGAATCTAACATTCGCAGGAATCTAACATTCCCTAAACTAATCTGATATTCCGTGAACCAAATGCCCCTTAAGTTATTAAGTGTTGGACATCCTTTTTAGACTTTTTTTGATCCAGTTAGATCAGTCCATATGGCCCAAGCCCTTTTGGTTGATTAGTTCGTCCATACCTATCCATCAGTCCATCACAGTCTTTGCTTTCTGACAATGTAACCCTTACACTAATTAAAATTGGTAATGAGGAAAGCAACTTCCATGCAGGGATATAAAGTTTATTGAGATGTTACGAACAGTTATAATAGGAAATGATAAATGTTGCACGCAACTTCCATGCAGGGATATAAAGCAAAGGCTGTCGTACGTTCACTGTGTGCACGATCATCGAAAAACAAGAAAGAGGGGAATCTTGCTATGCTACTGTAAAAATTCTTCATTTTTAACATAAATTTAAGTGGTAAAATTTATTTGTAATTTTCTAGTTTTTGGGTTTCACATTTTCACTACTGCGATCAGGGCGGGTTACTCTTTGATGTCCCATCACGTGACTGAACGTCAGTACACTGCATACGTTTAATTAGCATAGCAACTAGGAAACATTTACCATATAATAATGATAGCTGATCTCCTATGAAACCGTTTTATAAATCTCATTCTGGGGTAAAATATAATAAAAATAAGTTATAACAAAATTATTGTATATATAATAAAGAGTTAATTTCATCAGAGGTCCCTTGTTGTTTGTGACAATTCTAAATTTAGTCTCAGACTATTATTTTTGTTATTTAATATCACTAGACTATTATTTTTTGGACACTTTTAGTCTTTCTCATGACTATTCTTATTTTTAGTAAGGGTATTTTTATCTCTTCATATTTTTCTGTTATTATTTTTCCGGTTTAATTGGTTTAGAACTTAGGTAACCTCTGATTTTTAGTAATCATATTTTTCAACCGTTTTTAGTAAAGTTCTAAACCAATTAAACAAAACAAAACTATGAAGAGGCAAAAATGTCGTTACTAAACTAGAAAAAGTCATGAGAAGGGCTAAAAGTGTCAAAAAAAATAATAGTCCAGGGATGTTAAATGACAAAAACGATAGTCTGAGACTAAATTTGAAATTGCCACCAAAGACAATAGACATCCGATGGAATTAACTCTATAATAAATATTTTAAGTCGGCCTTATATATAATATTTTATATCATAAATGTAAAACTTTAGTAGACAATTTGTAAAAAAATATAGTAATAACATAACAGAATTGCAGATATAATCAATATTTTAATCTTTATATATAATATTTTATAGCATACATGTAATACTTTATAACAAAACTGTAATCTTTATATATAATATTTTATAACAAAATTGTAATGTAATAGACAAAATTCATATACTATAATACCCAAATTCTCTTGATCAGATCCTTCTAATAGATTAGGACCCATGAGACTATACATATGACAGGAGATGGTGGGGAAAGTCAACTTTTAGGCCGGGGCGTGTGAAGGGCAAGGGTGGCAAATGGCGATGGGAAGGCGACGATGGAATATGTGTGGTTTGAAATTTATTGGGTTTGTAGTTCATTCATTTTTTGCTATTTTTGTCCCAAAGATACTATAAATATGGGATCTCAGTTCACTTTTAGACACTAGCAAGAACTTGAATTCTCTAGTCCATAATCTTCTTTCACGTTTGGACAACTTGCTTAATTTGTCTGAAACTTGAAATAGGCGATATTGGGTTTGGATTTGAGCTAAGGCTCATTTTCAATATTATCCAACATCCTATTTTGTTTGATATTTGTGTTCGACCGTTTATTATCAATTTTAACCACGACAACCCAGTTTCATGACGAGTCTTGCCTTATAAAATCACCTCTACCAATCTACCATAAACAAATACATGTGTTGATGGGATGTTGACACATTTGTGATCATCTCACATATGACCTTTATTTATTTGAAGACCATTGCTACATGGACCAATTTTTTTCACTAATTTTTTAAGCATATGATATGATATGATAATAAAACTCTTTTTATTTATTGGTTATTTTGAATTGGCTGACCCATCTTGCGTTTTAAACGAAATATATTTATTAATCAAATACGAATCATATATTGCACATCAAATAGTAAAAAAATGTAGCATGATTTATTGATTTTATTTGAAATGTTTTTAGAGTGTATCTTATTTAGACTCTTTGCTAATACAATTTACCCGGAGTAGTTTTGTCAATATTTTTATAAAGAAAAATGTGTCTTACCCTCCTAAACACTTTAATTGATAGTCAATGTTCCTTAAAAAAAAAAAAATGATAACCAATGTTGTGTTGTAGTAGTTACGACGCCTATGTATCAATCACAGTAACACTCAAAGTTGCTACATGACCTATGCAATATTATTTTAATCCATATATTTGACCAAGTCTAAATTCAAATTAAATTATATATTTATGTTTTATATTATATGCTTAATAGTACATAAATATGTTCAAATATCTATTAATATATATATATATATATATATATATATTCTAATGAAGATAAGATTTTAACCAGAATTATATTTATAAAAAAAACATATTAGTGTAATCATTGTAATGTTGATTTTTGATGTAAGTGCGTGAAATGTGTTTATTCGAAAACAGACATAAATAAAGAGAGTTAAAATCGATTGTCATTATATTGCCTTTTTTGCTCATTATTTAGGACGAGAATGGAGTGTTAAAATCCGACTTCATAGACAAGCATGTCAGTAGTACTGGAAACAGGAAAGGTATCACGTGCATGTTTCTATAACTTGTCCCTAAAATATTACTACTACATATTAAATTATTATTGACCGCCCAGCCCTATATACTAATGTAGTATTATATAGCTAATTAAGTGACTAAACTGTCTTTGTCCAAGCTTAGCTTAGCTTGTTTTGTTTATCATCGCATTTTACTTTGTGGAGCAGACAACCTCTGATCTGGCGTAGAAAACAATGATTAGCATAACACGGCTGGCCATGTTCCCCCCAATTTCCTAAATCCTTAAAACTGTGTTTTTCCTACCCTCTTTGACCACCTCCCTGCAAAACCTTTTTTTTTTTTTTTTTAATCACAACTTACCTTCAATCTTATTAATACTTTTTTATCGAGTCCATCACACAAAATAATATTTAGTAATTAAGCTTTGAACAATATTGGCTAATTTATATATAACGAGCAACATATGATGTTTTATGTATTAACAGGGGCATTTTGGAAAAAGGGTATTTTCCTAAAACATTATATATATACAGCTATTTGTAACGTTTGGGATTTCAAACAAAAATTTTGATGTTTTGATCAAAGTAGTAGATTCATCAAAATTTCACCGTTTACCAAATAAGTTCGACATTGTGAATGATGGGTAGTTAAGAGTGTATATAGCAATTAAGTGTCTAGTAAGGTATGCATCAACATTAGATCTTTATGAAAAATATAGCAATTAAGTGACAAGTAAGGTATGCATCAACATTAGAGAGGTATAGTAATCCAACTGGGTAGCTCATTCTTCTTGGGGCAGCTCTCATGCCTCCTGCGAACGGAGATTAATCGGTTGGACTTGAACCGTTAAACGGACAGAGAAAGACCCATACTACTATGTGGTTATTGTAGTTGCACCCAAAAAAAATAAAAATAAAAAGGTATAGTGGCAAGATTATAACAACATATGATATCACATCCATGGGACATTAAAATACATTTACAAATTAAATGCCAAATATAGTAGCCACCATCTCGAAAAATCTAATCTAATTATACGCTAATTAAAATCATAGTCCAAACTAACATGATCATATCAATAGAACAAAAGACATTATATTCATTCCCCCATACATATATATAATAATTTACTCAACTTCTTCAAATTAAAGTTGTCCGTCCGGCGTTGCGTTGCCGCCGTTTAGTTGGGTAATTCCACTGGGTACCTATGAATGCAGTCTTCCCAAGGGCTGTTTGGGGAAGGCTTAACATTCCTTAGAGCTTTCCAAACCGCACTATTACACTTAAACCCGCTCCCAAACGCAATCTGCCATACCCGGTTCCCCTTTCGAATCCTCCCCTTCGCCTCCGTGTACGCCAGCTCATACCAAATGGAGCTCGACGACGTGTTTCCGAATCTGTGTAGAGTCATTCTAGAAGCTTCTACGTGGACCGGTGACAACTGTAGGTTCTTCTCCAGCTCGTCGATCACCGCCCTCCCGCCGGCGTGTATGCAGAAGTGTTCAAACGCCAGCTTGAAGTCCGGGATATACGGCTTGATTTTCGCGTTCCTCAACAGCTTTCTGGTCACGAGCGTGGCGAAGAACAGTAACTGCTCGCTGATTGGGAGCACGAGTGGGCCCAGGGTGGTTATATTGGTCTTCAGAGCTCCGCCGGCGATGGCCATAAGGTCTTTGGATAACGACACCCCTGTTTTCCCGCTGCCGTCTTGTTCTTGGTACACGCACCGGAAGGCGGTGTCGTCGGCGCCCTTGTGAGTCCGGACCACGTGGACGAGCTTATACTTGGCCCGCCGCCGGTCCGCCGCCTTGTTGGAGAGCAAAATCGCGGCGCCGCCGACGCGGAACAGGCAATTGGGGATCAACATGGACTTCTTGTTGCCGAAGTACCAGTTCTGCGTGATGTTCTCGGTGCTGACCACGACGGCGTACGAGTTCCGGTGAACTTGCAGCATGTCTTTCGCCAGATCGACGGCGATAACTCCGGCGCTGCACCCCATCCCCCCCAAATTGAAGCTCCGCACGTTCCCTCTCAGCTTATACTTATTCACAATCATGGCGGAGAGCGACGGCGTAGGGTTAAACAGGCTGCAATTCACCACCAGGATACCGATATCCTTGGGATTGATTTTGGTGTTCTGGAATAGGCTATCCAGGCAACCAAACATGACCTGTTCCGCTTCCGCCCGAGCAGAGCCCATGTTAATTGTCGGCGGAACATTATGCATAGCCTCCGGGAGATAAGTCTCCTCGCCGAGTCCAGATCTTTCCAGAATCTTCCGCTGGAAATCCAACGACGAGTCGTCGAAATCGC